AGAAATAGTCGATATTTTCATTTCTTATTATACACTAATTTCTAAATCGAGTGTTTTTCTTGGAGTTTCGAAGCGTTGATTCACTGGGCCAATCAGGAGCTGCGGTGGTTTCTTTTCTGCGACCAGCGCGCGCCGAGTGTGTCCAGCGTCGTTCACTTGAGAGCCCGGCAACTCTCCATGAAAATTGGGGACAAAGCTAGAGGTTGCTTCTACAGAATACGCTAGTGTTGCCGGATACAGCTGCGGTAAGGCTCGCCAACTTCCGCACATAAAAATTGGTCAAGAAATACGAATACACTTTGATTATGAGCGATTTTTGAAATAAATTACAAAAGAAATTAAATGTTAATACTATGTGTTTATCTTCTAAAAAGCATTTATTCATAATAATAGACTCATGAAAGAAGAGGTGTGCGATATTTTGTATCAAGCGCGTGTTTGCGTTCCGAGAACCAAATCACGATTTAAATAACGTTGGTAGCTGTTCGTACTTTAGTTCGTGTATGAAGGTGATGCTCTAGAGCGCGCTACTGTAATGGTCCTCACCATTTTATATGAGAGTTCTAGGGCCCTGGTTCACTTGACGAACGAGTCGCGAAAGGTAAACATGTGCTTCTGAAACATTGTTCAGGTCGTGAGGACGTTAATAGGGATGGTTGTCGAAAGAAACAGTGACTGTGGATAGATTCTTTGGAATATGATACTTTTTTGGTGCGTTTAACTATGTCGATTCATATTTTTCATTGCAAACGAAATGGTGTCTACGTTTCAGATTGTTAATTAGGCTGAAATGGTGCGTGAAAACTGTAGAAAAGTTACTAATTTTAGAAACTGTTCGGCGCAAATGATGTTTAAAACGCCACTCGAAGTGTAGGTTTAGGTAGTGGAGTGACCTAGAGTGAAGTCCAGTGCAATGAAGTGAAACGTGAGCTGTAAAGCATTTCGAGACAATTGCTTGCTGTGTAAAGTGTGTAGGTCCGAAATTGATCACGATGTGATGAGAGTGAATACTTAGTGAGAGTGCTTGCAATATCTTCAGGATTGTTGATGGGGTGACGTCCTTTCCTGCTTCTTAGCTGCACTTTCGCTGTGGCCTTCGTTTTCACGACGCCATTCTTCTCGACATTCTACCAACGCCTTCTTCCTGCCAGGGTGTAGGAAAAATACCTTCAAAATCTAGGAAGCATAGCAATACTCGTGAGGTAAAATAGTTTTTAAATAAACTTGCAAAATTCCTTTTCAGCTTTTCATGAAATTTGCAAAGTTTTGGTACGTATTTAATGAAAATCGACAGGAGCAACGTTTGCAGGTTAAGATTTAGTTGTAATATAATTTAAACAAGAATTAGAATTTCCCAGTTACAACATTAATTTGATTGAAAATATCTTGATGCCTAGTAATATTTGCGATACAGTGCGTTAAGGATACAGAATATTATATAGCAAATTTGAAAATGTGTATTGCCGAATGTAGTTCGTATAACTAATAAAAGGAATATATTAAGGCACATCAATAAATTAGTTTTAATCATGAAATAAATCTGAGACTGAACGATTAGTTAAGTTAATGTAGGGTAGAATAGGTTCCAAATCACAGGTTAGGGTAGCGTAGCACCCCTGGCAGGAGAGCAGCATCTTTGTCCCGACGCCGATGGAAGCTGGAAAGTCGGTGAGTGTTCTGGGCGGAGATATTCCCAAACCTCGTCCAAAGCCCCCTGATCGCTTCCTTTGACCTTCGCAGCGGCCCGGCCATTTGCGTTTCTCCCACCGGCTGCACGACGAATGACGCAGGTTTAGCCACTGGATGGGGCCGCGCCGGATATGGTTGACAGTCCAAGCAAGGCCACAGAACATTGCGTACATTCGTCAAATCTGCGAGAGAATCAATATGAACCTATTGTATATTACAAATGGCGTACAAATAATTTAAATACAAATATCTTGTTTTTTTTTGCATAAATAAATTATTAGTTATTACAGCGGCTTAAGGGTATTCAGTAAAAATAAAGATGGAAGAAAGAACTAAGTAAACGATGGTATAGTATAATCGATGAAATATAATATAAACGTGGGTTAAAGTTTAGTTTACGATACACCCTTAGAGAAGCGTGGCGGCAGTGCTTAAGCCCTAATTACTGTACGTGCTCTAATAGATATGAATAAAATTTACGGATACGCGATTTTCTTGGTTTGCCCTTCATACGCTTTGTCCCCGCCGCATTGTAACGCCAATTTACTTTCAAAGGCAAGTTTCCTCATTTCGCTTGCCCGCATCACGGTGAGGGTCGGGCCTTCGGCCCTCGCGTTCACTATAAACATTGTCGAGTCTAACCAACGCATAATAACTAATTCACTTTTATAAGACATCACTTTTCAAGAAAGCCT